GAGGAGGGCGAGGGAGGGGCGAGGAGTGGAGGGCGGGTGGAGGGCGAGGGTGGAGGGCGAGGAGAGGAGGGCGAGGAGAGGGGCGAGGAGGGCGAGGAGGAGGAGAGGAGGAGGCGGAGCGAGGAGGAGGCGAGGGGAGGGCGAGGAGGACGAGGTGAGGAGGGGGGCGCGGAGGAGGGCGAGGAGAGGATGACGGCCAGTTTCCGCTCGGGCCGTGGGTGGGGTCGAGGGCTTCAGGGCGCGCGCCTTGAAGGACCAGGGAGGTTTTTCCCAGCCATTCTGTTGTGTTGGGTCCTTGAAGACACGGTCCCCGCGTTCCCTCCCTCCTTCCTTCCCTCCTTCCTTCCTTCATCCTTCCTTCCTTTCTTCCCTCCCTCCTTCCCTCCTTCCTTCCTCCTCCCCCTCCTCCTTCCTCCTCCCGTCACCCCCCTCGCTTTGGTACACCCCTCACACGTTCCGTGGCCCCACAGGGGGCTCCACCGAAGGCCCCAGTGCCACCTCCCGCACGCGTCACGCACACCCATTTCGGCACACCCCTCACACGTTTCGTGGTGCCATAGGGAGCTCCACCGAAGGCCCCAGTGCCACCGCCCGCATGCGTCACGCACACCGATGTCGGCACACCCCTCACACGTTTCGTGGTCCCATAAGGATCTCCACTAAAGGGGCCCTGGTGCCACCGCCCGCATGCGTCACGCACGCCCATTTCGGCCCCCCCCTCACACGTTTCGTGGTGCGGGAGCTCCACCGAAGGCCCCAATGCCACCGCCCGCATGCGTCACGCACACCGATGTCGGCCCCCCCCTCACACGTTTCGTGGCCCCACAAGGAGCTCCACAGAAGGTCCCGGTGCCACCGCCCGCATGCGTCACGCACACCCATTTCGGCACCCCCTCACACGTTTCGTGGTGCCATAGGGAGCTCCACCGAAGGCCCCAGTGCCACCGCCCGCATGCGTCACGCACGCCCATTTCGGCACACCCCTCACACGTTTCGTGGCCCGACAGGGAGCTCCACCGAAGGCCCCAGTGCCACCGCCCGCATGCGTCACGCACGCCGATGTCGGCACCCCCCTCGCACGTTTCGTGGTCCCCTAGGGAGTTCCACCGAAGGCCCCAGTGCCACCGCCCGCATGCGTCACGCACACCGATGTCGCCCCCCCCCCCCCCACACGTTTCGTGGTCCCATAGGGATTTCCATTAAAGGCCCCAGTGCCACCGCCCGCATGCGTCACGCACACCCATTTCGGCATACCCCTCACACGTTTCGTGGCCCCACAGGGAGCTTCACCGAAGGCTCCAATGCCACCGCCCGCATGCGTCACGCACACCCATTTCGGCACACCCCTCACACGTTTCGTGGCCCCATAGGGAGTTCGGCCGAAGGCCCCAGTGCCACCGCCCGCATGCGTCACGCACACCCATTTCGGCACCCCCTCACACGTTTCGTGGTGCCATAGGGAGCTCCACCGAATGCCCCAGTGCCACCGCCCGTACGCGTCACGCACACCCATTTCGGCACATCCCTCACACGTTTCGTGGCCCCACAGTGAGTTCCACAGAAGGCCACCGCCCGCATGCGTCACGCGCACCCATTTCGGCACATCCCTCACACGTTTCGTGGCCCCATGGGGGGAGCTCCACCGAAGGCCCCAGTGCCACCGCCCGCATGCGTCACGCACACCAATTTCGGCACACCCCTCACACGTTTCGTGGCCCCATAAGGAGCCTCCACCGAAGGCCCCAGTGCCACCGCCCGCATGCGTCACGCACACCCATGTCGGCACACCTCTCATGCGTTTAGTGGCCCCATAGGGAATTCCACCAAGGGCCCCAGTGGCTGCTTTCGCATGCGCCCACCGGACACATTTTGGCACACCCCTCACACGTTGCGTGGCTCTAGAGGGAGCTCCTCCGAACGCGGTGCGCACAACGACGGTATTTGGAACTGCAGTTGGTTGCGTCCTTCGCCAGGCTAATTTGTGGTTTTGCGTGGGGGGGTCCTCCCAATGATTACATTTGTTCGAAGTTTTTTGTTGTGTGTTGTGGGGGGGGCCCTCCTGGGGGGCGCCCCGGGCGGCACTGACATCGTCGCGAGAAAAAAACACGGCCGAACTGCAGCTGCTCTTGCCCCTCGCCGCTCCCCCCTCTGGAGGCATCTGGAGGCCTCAGGAGCTCCCTCGGGCCTCGGGCCTCTGGAGGTCCTGAACGGCCCCGGGAGGCTCCCCTCCTGGTCCAAGCACAGAGCAGCCGTGACCCTCCTCCTGGTCCTCCCTCCCTCGCCCCCTCCCGCGCCTGGCAGGGTGGCGCTGGCAGCCCCCCCTCGTCGCCGCCGCAGTCGCCGCCGCGGTCCCCCTTCCGACAAGGACATGCCCCGCCGCCGTCCCCAGCCAGGGGGGGGGGGCGTCGGTCGAGCGACGTCGGAAGTTCGGAAGCGCGCGAGGACGAAGGAGCGTGCGAGGCCGTCGCTCGTGTACGTGCCTTGCCAACTGCGTTCGCCGACAACGGAACGCGAAGAGGGCGCGGAGGAGGAGGAGGAGGAGGAGGAGGAGGAGGAGGAAGAGGAGTAAGAGGAGGAGGACCAGTGTAAACCCAAAAATCATCAACGAGGTCGGGCAAAAGCCCTCCCTCCAAGCTCCCTCTTCATAGGCCCCATACAACGGTTCATTTCCAAAGGGAACTGCCTCGTTGGAAGACAACCGTTTGAAGACCCTGAAGCATGCCCAAACATGGTTCTCGGGATTCCAATGCCACGGATCAACCGGACTGATGCGTCTTGACGATCCTGAATCGTCCCAGAACGCCACTCCTGGGATTCAACACTGCGAATCAACGTAACTGTTGCGCCCTCATAAACCAGAGTCCTTCAAAACACCATTTCTGGTACGCTGATTCTGGGAATCCGTGAAACTTTTGTATTTTGTTTTGAAACGAATGTGCGCGGCGCCAAAGCGAGAGCCACATTTTGAAAAAGGGCCGTCCTCAATCCATGAAGCTCTTGCATTTTTTTAAAACTGAATGTACGCGGCGCTGAGGTGAGAGCCACATTTTGAAAACGAACCGCCCTCAATCCGTGGAGTTCTTGCAAATTTTCAAAACGAAAATGCGCGGCGCTAAGGCGAGAGCCATATATTGAAAAAGAACCGCCCTCAATCCGTGAAGTTCTTGAGAATGTTTGGAACGAATGTGCGCGGCGCTCAGGCGAGAGCCACATGTTGCAAACGACCCGCCCCAAACTCGTGGAACTGCACATTTTTGAAACGAATGTGCGCGGCGCTACGGCGAGAGCCACACCTTGAAGACGACCCGCCCTCCATCTGTGAAGGTGTTGTAAATTTTTATGCTTCAAGGTCATAAATGGTGAGGAAGTCTCAGGCGAAACGCCCGGCCCGCCCTAAAAACGAGCATCGGGGTGCGACATGGAGAGTTATGTATACGGAAATGGAATGGAATGGAATGGAGGAGGAGGAGGAGGAGGAGGAGGAGGAGGAGGAGGAGGAGGAGGAAAAGGAGGAGACGGACCAGCGTAAATCCAAGACTCACCAACGATGTTGGAATAAACCCTCCTCGAAGCTCGCTATTTCTAGACCCCTACAAGTACCCCGTTGGGAGACAACCGTTTGAAGACGCTGAAGTTTGACAGAACTCCATTCTCGATACTTCAACGCTGTTAATCAACCTGACTGCTGCGTCTTGGCAATCCAGAGTCGTGCCAGGGCACCATTCCTGGGACTTCAACTCCGCGAATCAAAGTGATTGTTGCGCCCTGACAATCGTGCATCTTTCCCAAAGACCATTTCTGGTACGTTGGCCATGGGAGCCCGCATTTTTTTTAGCCGAATGTGTGCGGCGCTCAGGCGAGGGCCACATTTTGAAGACGACCCGCCCTCAATCCGTGAAGCTCTTGCAACTTTTGGGAACGAACGTGCGCGGCGCTCAGGCGAGGTCCACATTTTGAAGACGACCCGCCCTTTTGAAGAGAATGTGCGTGGCGCAAAAGCGAGAGCCACATTTTGAAAGCCACCCGCCCTCAGTCCGTGAAGCTGTTGTGAATGTTTGAGCCGAGTGCGCGCGGCGCTAAGGCGAAAGCCGCGCTTTGAAAACCACCCGCCCTCCATTTGTGAAGATGTTGTCGATTTTCAAGCTTCAAGGTCATAAGTGGTGAGGAAGTGTCTGGCGAAACGCCCGGCCCGCCTTTTCGACCGGCATCGGGGTGCGATAGCGTGGCCTTTTTGGAGTTGCTGCGAGAGATTTTCGTGACGATGTGTTGTCCGACGTGTTGCGTGGATACCGCGCGATTCGCGTGGCATATACAGTATACATATAACGGCGCACCGGGTCCGGGCGCCCGGGGCCGGCGCCGCTACCGCAAATGTGGGCTCCGGGGCCCTCGGGGAGCCCCGGGGCCTCACAGAAGACCGCCAGAAGGCACCAAGGAGGCCCCAAGAGGCTCCAGAACAGACCCGGGACGCCCGAAGGTCGCTCCCAGACGCCCAACATGGCCTCCAAGGCGGCTTCAGAAGCCCCCAAGACACCCCAAGCGACTCCCAATAGGGCCCCAGAGACAGCCCCAAGGGGCCCAAATAGCCCCATTCCTTTAGTAAAACGTATATTTTTAACATATTGCTTGTTTTCGCTGTCGGTCCGGCCGAGGACGCGCCCCAGAGGGCCCCAATACAGCCCCAGAGAGCTCCAGGACGGCCCACGAAGGGCCCAAGACGGCCCAAGAGAGTCCCCAAGACAGGCCCGAGAGGGCCCCAGAGGAGGAAAGCCACCATCGAATTCCAAGCTTTCGACCCCAAGTGGCTCCAGGAGGCGCCGAGAAGCCCCCAAGAAGCGCCTGGAAGGCTCCCAAAAGCACCCCAATAAGCAAAAATCGTCCCATTCCTGTGGGAAAACGTTGGGGGGGGGTTCAGCGCCAGGACATACCGGGCATACCGGACATACGGCGTTGGACCGGAACTAACCGGACATAAATGTCCCCAGCGGTCGGATGACGTAATGGAGCGCCCCGAGTGGGCACACTTGAGCGGCCTGAGCGGCCATGTGAATAGCCACGGGTGGCTACGGCAACTCGCCAGACGGTGGAATAAGCTGATGCACATCCTCCACGGGAACGGGTCCTCCGGCGCCCAGCCGGAGGTGTTTGCTATTGGTGGCGAGTCCTCCGACGACCTCTCGCTGCTGGCCGTGGGGACGCAGATTACTATTGTTGGTTTGACGTCGGCGAGAGGCTCACCTCTCAATGGCTTCTCCGGCACAGTCATTAGCTATGTGGAGGCGTCGCAGCGTTACGGGGTGCACGTGCCAGTGACAGGGGACGAGGTGCTGCTCAAGCGGGACAATCTCCAGACCTCACTCGTGGAGGAGCACTGGCTGACGGACTACGACATTACTCACGACGCTGGTGTGCCCCGGGCCTCAGTGCAGGGGGCGCGGATCTTATTGCGCCGATACGGATCTGCGAACCGGGTCAACGAGTGGATGGATATCTATAGGGAGTTTCTTAACCGCAGGCGGGCGTTGGTTATGAACTGGGCTATCTTTGTATGGGCGTGCCTGGAGGAAGCATCTAGAATTGTTATTGCGTGTCCCCGTGGTGTTGGCATCCGTTACTCGCCGTCGCTGGACAATTTACGACAGCACATGGCTCGCAGCAGCGGCTTCCTCACCTTCGGTGGTGGCGCTACCTGGACTGAGAAGCGGTTCTTGGTACTACCGGTGGAAGACCAACAGGAGGCTGCGGACTACGCATTTTCAAGCCTCGCCCCTGCAGAGGCTCTTGACCAGGCAGTTGCCGAGGTCGCGATGGCCATGCCCTCTGCGGAGGCCCAGGTGTCGCGCAGCCAGCGCCGAAGGAGGGCCAGGGCTGCCCGGGATCGTGGCATTTGACGACGTGGCGCCCCGGCGTCATCGGCTCCCACATTTGCAGTGTCCTGGGGACCACGCCTGCGCCTGTGCAGGTTGCTGCCGATGTCAGGAGTTTACTCGAATGCATGGGTGGCTGGTAGTTCAATTCACATCCTGGTGGTTAGTTTGTTTCAGGGCGAGGACAAGGCTTTTCGTCACATGCTTCTGTGGTTGGCCGCTTTGGTTTGCACAGTACCTCCGGCCATGTGCAGGGCATGACATGCATGCACCGGCTTTTCCGCAGGGCGAGTGGTACGCCATTGCTTCGCGCTGGTCTGGACCTTCCCTCCGCGGGGGGTTCGGTCTGCTCGCCTTCTCGGGTTGCCGAAGGAGGGGGGGCTCTTTATGACCTTAAAAAATATCCGCTCAGACAAGGAAAGCGACTGGTGCCCCACGGGCTTCAAGTGCGGCATCAACTATCAGCCTCCCACAGTGGTCCCTGGTGGCGACCTGGCCAAAGTCATGCGTGCCTGCTGCATGATCAGCAACTCCACCGCCATCGCAGAGGTCTTCTCGCGCATCGACCACAAGTTCGACCTCATGTACTCGAAGCGCGCGTTCGTGCACTGGTATGTGGGCGAGGGTATGGAGGAGGGCGAGTTCTCTGAGGCTCGCGAGGATCTGGCGGCGCTGGAGAAGGACTACGAGGAGGTGGGCATCGAGACCGCGGAGGGTGAGGGCGAGGAAGAGGGCTACGGTGACGAGTTCTGAGCAGGCTGCCGCAGAGCAGCTGCACGAGGGAGGATATCCGAGGAGTCGCACTCTGGTTGAGAGAAGGCGTGCTTACACGACCTCTCTCAAAGACTTGCGTGCTTGCACGCAGCAGATCGGCGTGTTTTCCACGCCAAACTGTGGCTTTGCACTTGCACGACACATCTTCGCTCGGGGTGGCCGAATCGCCAGACCGCCTCGTGTTCCTGCCTCCTTGTCATCGCGCCCGCAGAGACAACAACAACAAAAAAGCCTAGCTAGAACTTAAGCGCGCGCGAAGCGCGCGCGATGGTTCTAGTATCATCTGATTGCGCGCGCGCGCCGTCCCCGCCGAGAGCCCGTATGGTGGGGGGCGTCTTTGGGGTCGGTGCCTTCGGATGCTGAGGGGGGCCTGGTCCTGACGTGGCCGTTTTGAGCATAGCGTGACGGACTCCGTGCAGTCCGTGTCGCTACTAGTACTGGTGCTAGTACCACTACGACTACAACTACTACTACTATCATGTCTACTCTTATTCTTACTACTACTACTACTACTATTACTACTACTACTACTACTACTACTACTACTACTACTACTTCTACTACTACTACTACTACCACTACTACCACTACTACTACTACTACTACTACTACTACTACTACTACTACTACTACTACTACTACTACTACCACTACTACTACTACTACTACTACTACTACTACTACTACTACTACTACTACTACTACTACTACTACTACTACTACTACTACTACTACTACTACTACTACTACTACTACTACTACTACTACTACTACTACTACTATTACTACTACTACTACTTACCCGTTACGAAAGTTTTTCATCTTGAGCATTGACGACTAGGGCGTCTCCGAGTGGCCCCCCCCTTCCCCCCGTATACTCCTAGCACGGCAGTCATCGGCTTGGCTTGGCGGGAGAGATTTCCGGGTTTCTCCCTGGTAACATAAATAATATATAACCAATTCAGGATAACATCCCTCCCCCGTTAATTCACAAGGGAGAAATCACTCCCGGTCACTTCCAGGCAACTCTGAATGTCTCCCCGTATGAAACCACAAGGAAGAATCACTCCCATACCACTTCTCACCACAGCGCCCACACATGTCAAATTGATCCAATATGAATTAACTTTCGTAACGGGGATGGATGCACTACTACTACCAGTACTACTACTACTACTACTACTACTACTACTACTACTACTACCACTACTACTACTACTACTACTACTACTACTACTACTACTACTACTACTACTACTACTAGTACTACTACTACTACTACTACTACTACTGGCAGTACTACGACGACAACGACGAGGAGGAGGACGACGACTACTACTACTACTACTACTACGATTACTTCTGTTATTATCCCATTGCTACTACTACTACTACTACTATTATTACTACTATCCACTACTACCACCACGACTACTACTAGTACTGCTACTACTAATGTTACTAGTGCGACGAGTACGTGTATTACTACCACTATCGCTACTTCTGCTATTATATTACCATTATTTCTTGCATTACGATTACTAGTACGAATTCTCCTCCTCCTCCTCCTACTACTACTACTAGTATTTGTACAAATATTACTACCACCCACACTATTATAGCTGCAACTACTACCAGTACTACCACCACTACCATTACTACGGCTATTACTATTACTACTACTACTACTACTTCTAGTAGTAGTAGTAGTAGTAGTAGTAGTAGTACTACTACTACTATTGTTATTATTACTTTCGATAGTATTAGTATTGCTACTACGACTACCACTAGCACTACTACTGCTACTAGTACTGCTAGTACTACTACTACTACTACTACTACTACTAATACTACTACTACTACCGCTACGATTACGATTCTTAGTTTTCGTATTTTGTATTATTACTTTCATCGATGCTGCTACTGCTTCTTCTTCTTCTACTACTACTACTACAACTAGTACTACTACTATTACTACTACTACTACTGCTACTACTACTACTACTTCTTCTTCTTCTTCTACGATTGCTTGTGCTACTACTGCTACGGCTACTGCTGCTGCTACTACTACTACTACTACTGCTACTACTACTACTACTGCTGCTGCTGCTACTACTACTACTAGTACTACTACTCGCATTACTGTAACGATGGCGACGACGGCGACTGCTAGCAGTAACGCTGCTACTTCCCTGATTTCAAGTGTCAGTGTTGGTACTACCTTTGCTACTGCTTCCGCAAGTGCTACCTCTAGCGGGCAGTGGGAATCAACGTGGTCGTACCAAATGCGAATAATATATAGTAACAACACGTGGCACCAACATGCGGTAACCACAGGTGCAACAACACACTTCGTATCCTTGAGCTCCACGCCGGCCAGTTGGTGGAACACTGCTTGATGTAATCGCGCAAACGAAGCACCGCACCCGTGTAGACCCCGTTGAGAGCGCGCGCGCGCCCTCCAGGAGCTCTGTCGGCGAGCAAGCCGCCGCGTGCGAGGCCCGCGAGCAGGTTGCCTCCCTCGCACCGCTAACCCCGCCGTTGTCGCCGCCGCCGTCCTCGTCGGCGTCGTCGGCCTCGTCGTTCCTCGTCACTCGTCCTTCCTCTCTCCGTGCTCCTTCCTCCTTCCCGTTCTCCTCTTCCCGCGCGCAGGAGGAGGAGGAGGAGGAGGAGGAGGAGGAGGAGGAGGAGGAGGAGGAGGAGGAGGAGGAGGAGGAGGATGAGGAGGAAGTGGTAGGAGGAGGAGGAGGAAGGAGGAGGAGGGAGGAGGAGGAGGAGGAGGAGGAGGAGGAGGAGGACGAGAAGGAGGAGGAGGACGAATAATAAAAATAATCAAAAAAACGTAGAAGAAGAGGAGGAGGAGGAAAACAGGGAGGAAGAGGAGTAAGAGGAGGAGGAGGACGAGGAGAAAGAGGAGGAAGGATGAGGAGGGAGGAGGAGGAAGAGGAGGGAAGGCGAGGTGAATGACGAGGAGGATGTTCGCTGCAGTCGTCATAGAGGGTGTGAATCAAGCTCACAATTGCCAGGCGGGTGCCGCCTACAATGGAAGCAACAGCCGAAGTTGGCCAATCAAGGGCCCATGAGCGAGGGCCTTCTGAGGCCCCAGAACACGGCCAAGTGGTCGTGCATGGCCCCCCCGACCACCAATGCGGGCGCGGGCGCGGTGGGGGTGGGGGGAGTGAAATAGAACGGGAAAGAACGCGAGGACCCCCCTTCCCAAGGAGGCTCCCGGAGCTGCACAGAAGTTCCAGGAGGGCCCCACGACGGTCCCAGGAAGCCCCCAGGCTGCCCCAGGAAGTTTCCAGCAGCACAACGAGGCCCCAAGAAGCCGACAGCGCGTCCGCATAGGACTTCCGAGA